CTACTCAGGAAGTTGAGGGAGAAGAATTGAAGGCTCCAGACCTGACTGGACTCACTGAGTTCAAGGCCAGTCTGGGCAACTTAGTGAAACCATCTCAAAGGGTTGAAAAGAGGTAGGGATGCACCCTCAGTGACGGAGTACTTGCTAAGCAAGGCCCCAAGGTCAGTCCTTAGTACTATAAACAAAAAGCAAAGTGGGGAATTTACAAAGGGACTGCCACCAGGCATGGCAGCACACACCCGGAACCCCAGTACTTGAAAGAAGTGGCTGAACTTCTAGCTGGATCCAGAAGCACGAAGAGTCACCAGGAGCAATGAAACTGAATCCAATTGATAGAGTAGCCTGCTTCATCTTAAGAGTTAAATTTTTGCTAGGACAAATGTTTCATACAGAGCTCAAGCACTAAGAATATCCTTCAATTTCTGTGCATTATCCATAATCCATTTCCAAATGCCTCCGTGTTCCCCAACATGGTTTTTTCTTTACACCTCTTCATAGTTGCTTCCACTGAGAAAGTTCCTCTGCCGGTCTCAGCATCATGTTGAAATTCTGTATCTTCCATAGCTTGCCCTGGTCCCCAAACTGGCTCATCTAGCCCTGCTTCACAGCAGGTACTGTCTTCAGGTATTTCTTTAGGGCTGTGCCTGAGTTAGACTATGATGAGAGACAGACTCTCACCTTCAGCCAGCTGTATGTGGTAGCCTGCCAGGCTTGGGCCTCAGAGCTCTTGAGCAGATGACACATGACTACCCAGTAGCAGCAGATAGGCACACATAGAATGCCCATTTGTCCCTTCGCAACCTACACTGAAGCAAGATGGAACTGGTAGCAGGAGAGGGTGCCACACTTGGAACCTGGACACAGAGCTTGACTGTTCTACACTGAATGAAGTAATGACAGGGCTGATTGAGGGGATTATGGGTATAAAAGGTTGGGTATGATCCCAGGAAGAGCCTCCTGTGAGCTGGGAAGACCTCTACTTAAACGGGAAGACAGTGTCTCCAGCCAAAGTCTAGCCTTTCAGGAAAAGGGCAAACTAATTCTCAATACATTCTGATTAAAAAAAAAAAAAAGTATCCTCTGCACTCGCTCTCGATAAGCTGTCATTTCTTAATCTCTTAAAATGTATGTGCCAGAGTGTTCATTCACCCAACCTCAAGCCCAGTTTTCTACACGTGTGATTGTTCCAGGATAGATTCAAAGGCGCCTAAAAAACAATTGTTGTTTTGAGACAGTCTGTCTACATACACCTGACTGTCCTGGAACTCACTATGTAAGCCAGTGTGGCCCCAAACTCACAGAGATCTGACTTCTGCCTCCCAAGTGCTGGGATTAAAGGCATAAGGCAACATGCCCAGCAAAACGTGCCTAAAACTTGAAGTAAATTCCCCCAGATAAGTCAACAGTCTGACATCCTCAGAACTACTATCTTATATGCAATGGTGTCAGTTAAAAGTGCAATCACCCGTGAACTGTTGCAGTACTCACTCAATTTGTTGGGGAAAAACCCCAGGGCAAGATTTGCTGCATTCATAAATTACAAAGCTTCAATTTCCTTGGCAAAAAAACCAACAACAGGCCAAACTGCTTGGCTTAAGCAAGACTTTAAATTTTAACGCTTTGACACAAACTGAGTCCAGAGACCGAATCTCAGTTTCTAAGTTGTACAATGAAGAGGTGACGGGGCCTTGTCTTGTTTGTTTGTTTGTTTGTTGTTTGTTTGTTTGTTTGTTTGTTTTTCGAGACAGGGTTTCTCTGTGTAGCCCTGGCTGTCCAGGGACTCACTCTGTAGACCAGGCTGGCCTCGAACTCAGAAATCCGCCTCCCTCTGCCTCCCAAGTGCTGGGATTAAAGACGTGCGCCACCACGGGGTTGTATACCAATCCTGTCTTTGAAAAAGAAAATAAATGTGGAGAGCTGATGGCACACCTTTGATTCCAGAGCTCAGGAGGCAGAGGCAGATGGATCTCTGAGTTTGAGGCCAACCTGATCTACAGAGTAAGTTCTAGGACAGCCAGGGCTACACAGAGAAACCCTGTCTAAAAAAAGAAAACAAATAAAATAAAACAAAAGTGAGCCAAGAAGCAACCCTAAGAGAACACAGCTCAGCATTTACTACATTTGAAGATCAGCTTGACTTGAGTTAGAACTTGAACCAGGCAAATACATTTGACCAGTTACACAAAAGCTCAGTTCAAAAACCAAAGCTGTACATATAACCACGATATGAAGCTTCTAAAAATTCCTTTCAATATAGAAGTGTTTCTACTTATAAAAAGTTCTCTTTGTTGTAAGAAACTCTGAAGCAAGCCAGGAAGCAGCGCTTGTCTGTGGTCCCTGCAGCAGCTCCTGCCTCCAGCTTCCTGCCCTCCTTGGTTCCTGTTCCTGCCCTCACTGCTTTGATGATGAACAGTTACATGGAACTGTGAGGGGTGGGAGAGGAGAGACTCTGAAATAAAAAAGCATCCATCTGCTTCATTTGATCACCCTTGGTAGTCCTGACTTCTCATCTATCTGATTCTTTAAGATTCTATGACATTCCTGAAAACAACCACAGTTAAAGAGACTTATTCTACATTTAGGTTGAACGATGACCAGCTTGTTTATGGAGAGCCTAGGCAGAAAGTAATTGCATCATTTCTCCAGGGTATAGCCTTGTGCTATATATATAACCCCCCTGTTCCCACCACAACATTTTAATAGGTTCCCTAGGCCTTTAAGCACACCCTTAACTATTTGCCAGATTAAAATAGCATGGCCTTGGGGTTTAAGCAGGGCCTAAGTCAGTCATAAAACTTTTGTTCAGGTTTTAGTAGACACCCAGCCATGGTTCTACATGTAACTTGTTACTACTTTTGTGTTTCCTAATTAAAAGGGGGGGGGTAATTGCATCATTTCTCCAGGGTACAGCCTTGTGCTATAAATATAAAACCCCCCTGTTCCCACCACGACGTTTTAGGGGTGTCAGTCAGTAGAGAAAGATTTCTCTTTCATTTCCATTAGGGACTTTGATGGACCCCTCCATAACACCTAGAGTTGTTTGAGCAGGAGATCTGTAAAGTGCCTACCTTTTAAAACAAAGATCTAACTTTTTAAAAATGCTTTTCAGTCAAGTATGCCAATGCACACCTGTGACTATGGTAACAGAGAGGGCCAGGAGTTCAAGGTTGGCTCAGGCTCTAGAAAACTAAATCTCAAAGAAAATCAAACGCTAAAGCTACAAGAGAAAAAGGTATTTTTTTTAAAAAGATCACAGATGTATAAGGCAAAAGTTTTTTGTTTTTGTTTTTGTTTTTTTTAAAAAAAAACATGGAACATTACACAGGTCCATGAAGCTCTGGTTCCCAACAAGATCTTTGAAGGAAGTCACTTACTTCAAAGCACATTAAATCTTGAAAGTAGTTAAAGTATTGGGAGTTGTCAATCACACTGAAAAACTGAGATATTAGATATAGATCAAAAACTGTGGTAGACCTGGGTGCAAGGGCTCATGTCAGTAATCTTAGCACTTGGGAAGCTGAGAAGGATTTGGAAAATTCAAGGCCAATCTGTGCCACATGGTGAGTTGTAGACCAGCCTGGGCTTTAGTGAAATGCTGTCTTAAAAAATCAGAAGATACTACAGTCTTCTTCAACTGAAGAGTTCACTGCAGAACACAGTCTTGAATACGTGGTAAATCTGATACCAGACTGGTAGAACTTAATTCTTTCAGTGAGTTCAACCAAAAAAAAAAAAAAAAAAAAACAGAAAGAGGAAAAAAATAAAGCTACAATTTTTTGTTGTTGTTTTCTGGCATTAAATGGCCAAATAAGGAAAAAGTGGTTATGAGTATAGATCATCAAATGAGCATCAATATAAATAAGGTACAGAGATCAGAAAGAGCTCAATTTTACCTAGAAAGACAAGACTCAAGGACAGACACACAAATACACACACAGATACACACACACACACACACACACACACACAGTCTTTTTCTTTCAAATGTAACACAAAGGATGATATTATTCCCCAAAGCTAGGAATTTAAGAGGAAGGAGAAAAAAAATATCTGAGGCAATGAAACAAATCCAAGTGGCCATTGCGCAAGATGGGAAGGGGGGATGGGGGAACTGGGGTGGGAGACGTAGAAATAACAGTACCACAAACATCTGTTCTGAAAGACTGTTTGGAGAAAGACTAGGAAAATAAGTGTGGATGGTTGGGGGCAGGGAAAATTCCCAATCTTTTAAAGGCAATCAAATGACTGTATTTGAGTATACCAATGCAGATTAGAACCAGCAACCTTTGGCTATCTTTAGGGAATGGACTTGTGGGAGGTGGGTGAAGGCGGTATCTGTATTTATTTTGCAGGTACTAAACTCAGGTATATTTTACTTATGTTATAACTTGCCTAAAAGGTTTTGGGTATTAAAATGCAATGCAAAATAGAAAGTAAAATCCTTGGTAAGAAACAAGACAGCTGCCCCAGGTGGGGTGTTAAGTCTTCCCAGAGGTGAAGGTCAGCCAGGGCATCATAACACAGGTAGTGGTTCTTGCTTCAGAGATTTAAGAAAAATAATGCTTTGCGTATAGGAAGACCTTGGGCCAAACCCTTTACTGCCTCACACTTGGCCAGCAGACTTCTTCCCAGGGCAAGCTGTCCTTGAGCTTTGTGCAGGTGGCCTCTACGCTGAGATTACAGAAACAAACAAACAAAAACAACCAAGTACCTTGTCCAGAACTTTACACCATCAAGAGCCACTCACTAAATTAACAAGGAGGCATTTGAGTCCAGTAACGAGTTTAATTTAATAAGTTTTTGGCTCTCTTCAAGAAAGACTTGGATTTAATGTGCCACAAGTCTGGAGGTGCTGTGACTGGATCCCCAAAAAGCACAGAAGGAACCAAGAGTGGAAGACAGGAAACGAACACTTTTCTACATCAATCAGGAGTCAGCTCTCCAACGTCCCAAGTCACTCTGAGAACAGCGAGAATAGGAAGGGTTCTCGGATTACTCACACCGGGCGGTCGCTGGCCCATCCCACTCAATAGTGACTTTGTCGCCTGTCTTCGCTAGAGACCTCCAGAAAACTGGATCGAACGAGACCCTGGAAAGAGCACAAATAGGAGCGGCCTCTTCAGTAGGCGTCCTGGAAAGTCAGCCTGCGGAGCTGGCCCAAGCTGTTAGCCAGGTGACATGCCCAGCAAGCCCAACAGGTTCAGGAGTGTGGCGCGATGGTACTCTCCCAGGACATCGCTAAGAACACCAGAGTACTCTTGCAGGGCAGAATGCCCCCCGAGTGTGACCAAAGAGAAGAGCTCCGAAAAGATGCGAACGCCCGCCATTCCACCAAGACTGAGTCGTGGCCATTGCTGGACTCCAAAACTCTAACGAGAGGGCGGAGGAAAGTTACAGGAAACCAGAGAGGAAATCAACTTCCGCCTCTACAGGCGGAACAGACCAGTCAAGACTCAAAATCCAAAAAGACCCTCCCCCGCCCTTCCCCCACTCCCCTTCCCCTACCTCCACCCCCACCCACGGGTTCTCGCAGCTTGGGAAACTGGTTTAAGTTAGCAAGTGGTGACTTGCTAAAGAAACAAATGTCATCAAACAATGTACAACATAAAACTTCTAGAAAAAACCATTTAAGCTGAATGTGGTGGTGCACGCACAACATTGGGGGCGGGTGGGGAAAGGGGTAGCTGCTGAGAAGGGAAGATCAGGAATTGTAGACCATCCTGTGCTACATAGTAAGATCAAGGCAAAAAATAAAAAGCCCATATTTCCCAGGTCATTCAACAGAAAAGCTACAAATAGAAGAACTGTTGACCAAAATGATAGTTTCTGTAAAGAAAGCTTTGAAAATTCGCTTACAGCTAGGTGCTGGTAGCATGACAGGGCAAGACAGTACAGAGGTTACTCCGTCTTGAATTCTTGCTGAGGCGATTTCAGGTTTAACTAGAATTTGAATTTGATGAAAAATCCCATGGAAATTTGTCCAACTCTATTCTAGGAACCCAAATTCAAGATGCCCCAGCTAGCTTAGCTTCTGTCATACTGCCGTCTTGTGCAAACCTCCCCCCCTCCAGCAAACTGCTTATCTTAGTTGTCAAGTTGCTTATTTACCCAAAGCCTCCCCCTCCCGCCCCCCAGCTGCCAAGTGAGGTGCCAGGACATGGCTTCTGCCTTCAAAAACCCTGTGCTCTGGACACTGGTCACTGAATACACCCAATACCTAAGTGCCATCCCAGCTGGCTGGAATAAAGACTTTCAAATGGCTATAAACTGTGGCTCAGTGGTTATCTCTGGTGGGCTCCCAGGAACAGTGACTAATAGCAGCATGCACCTTTAATCCTAGCAATGCAATCAGGAGGCAGACACAGGTGGATCTCTGCACAGTCTAGGCCAGCCTGGTCTACATAGTGAGTTTAAGGAGGACCAGGGCTACATAAAGAGCACTGTCTCAGAAAACCAAAACATAAAATAAAAGTAATTTGCTTACAAAGCAAGATTGTTGTGATACCAAAGAGCTGAGCCTTTTGCTTTGCTCAGAACCTTTTTTAAACTAGGGGATCGATCTTTTATCAAAAATCTCTTCTTAGAGAGGTTTTAGATTTTAGATGATCCTTGTTGGCCAAGGCCTGACTTATACTACTTCCTACTGGCCCCACCCCTTTTAGTGTAAGAACAAATTTCAAAGGTTACCTGAACCCGAGGGATTTATTAGAGTCCTTGGATTTACTTCCAGCTTTCCAGAATTTACTGTGAATACCAGTGGCCTTTGTTCTACTGCATTTCTTTGTTAATGTTCAAGCGAACTTGTCCACCCAGATAGAAAGATAGATAGATAGATAGATAGATAGATAGATAGATAGATAGATAGATAGAGACAGATAGACAGATAAGAGATAGATGTGTGTGTGTGTGTGTGTGTGTGTGTGTGAGAGAGAGAGAGAGAGAGAGAGAGAGAGAGAGAGAGAATATTAACTTTTCAAAAAGAAAACTGGTAATTGGACAGTTCAAGTCCAGGAAATGAGTAATGATGTTTTGTGCATGACTAATTGTGGCTCTGCTAGCAAAGGGAACACAGGAATGCTCTCTGCTGGGGTTTATGGGTGCTCCCTCCTGTCCTCAAGATGCAGTCTCTACAGCTCCGGAATGCTCAAGGGTCATTAAGGGCTACTTCCCCGGGGGGTCCCATCGCCTGAACACCTCAGGCCGCCTTAGGCTGGGGATTGTCGCCACCTGCGGTCGCCCTGCGCCCTGTCCCGTACCCAGCCGGCCAAGCAGGTGGAGGAGCTGTAGTCCTCCGCGCCCTCCCCGCCTCCGCGCGCCGTTCCCTGTGCGCCGGCGCAGGGCTCACAGCGACCTTCAGGGCCGGGCTAGAACGCGCAAGGCACAGCAGCCGGGGACTCAGGGTCCCGGGCTCGCGCAGCGCCGCAAGTAGCGCGCGGGTTACACCGCGCAGGTCACGTACCCGTCCGGCCCTAAGTGGCTGCTTGGGAGGCTCAGGTCTCAGAGACTTCACTGCGTGCCTTAGAGTCCGCAAAATGGAGACGCCCAGAAACCGAAAGCAGACGTGGCAGCAGGCGCGGCTTCTCTGAGCTCTAGCCCGCATCCTGGGCCGGGCTTTAGCAACACACGTTCTCTCCAGCCCCTTACTTGACTTTATAAAGACAAAAAAGGGGCTTTGGCTAGATACGTATTCCACTTTTAATTTCTAGAGATGTTTGAAATATAGAAAAACACAAATAAAATAGCAAACCTCTTTATTTCTAGAATTCTGAACTCAATATTGTGGGATTCCTTACTCATCCGGTGGAATCGCCCCAGTGGGAGGGGACAAAGTATTAACACATCTTCTGGGTTGGTCACTTACTCTCTTGTTTGAGCCTGTCCTGGAGAGTGGTTAATATCTATAGTGACACTCCCCCGGAGAAAACTGATTTTCCCTTTCTCAGCAGCTATCAGTTGCACATAGCTTCTTGGTTAGGGGCGGGACTCTGTCCACTTCCCCGTCTCAGGGCTGGGATTTTGTCTGGTTTGAGCCTGTACGGATCTTGTATGTATTGGCAAAGCCTTCATGAATTCATGTGTATTAACATTAGTTCTGTTGTGTCAAGAAGAATTTCCTTGGGGTTATCTACTATCTCTGTCTCTTCCAAGCTTTCCACCTTCACTTGTGGACAGATCCCTGAGCCCTGAGCCTTGGGGTGGGGTGGGGTGGCAAACACATTCCATTTAGGGCTGAATGCTCCAAAGTCTCTTCCTCTCCACGCTGTCTAGTTGTGGGTCTCTGTTAATTCACAATTACTACAAGAAGCAGCTGCTCTGATGAGGTGCAAGTGAGACACTGAACAACGGGTGTGGGAATATGTCATTAGGGGTCTTTTCTTTCTTTTTTTTTTCTTTTTTCTTTTTTTTTTGTTTTTTGTTTTGTTTTGTTTTGTTTTGTTTTTCGAGACAGGGTTTCTCTGTATAGCCCGGGCTGTCCTGGAACTCACTCTGTAGACCAGGCTGGCCTCGAACTCGGAAGTCTGCCTGCCTCTGCCTCCCAAGTGCTGGGATTAAAGGCGTGCGCTACCACCGCCCAGCGGGTCATTTTATTACTTTGTCCTTTTAGTAGAAGATTTTTCTCCTAGGGTCCATGACCTGTCTAGTCTCAGGTTCTTGGCCACTTGAACAGTGTCATATATGACAAACATCTGATGTAGTGGGCGTTAAATCTGATTTTTTTTAAGTGGTTGATTACTTCCATAACATTTATACCACTATTGCACAGGTATACCTTGCCCATAAGTCACTGTTGTATGTCACAGGGTATCAAGGCCAAAATTATTTAGGATCTTGAGTTTTAGCAGTTCTGTCTCATTCTTAAATCTAAATACCACTCAAAAATTACAATTTGATTTATTTTTTAAAAAGGCAAGCATGTTTGGGACAAGGAGATGTCCCAGCAGGTAAATGTGCTTGTTGCCAAACTTGACTACCCAAGACTCATCCCATGAACCCATGTGGTGGAAGAGGACAGGAAGCAAAGGAGAGAATCAGCTCTACAAGCTGTCCTCTAATGACCACATGTGTGTCAGGGGATGTGTGTCCAGACACATAAACATAAGAAAATTAAAACTAAGCCTTTAACCTTTAAGCCCTGATCTAAATTACACTTTAAAACATGTTACTTAAGGGCCGGGCCAAATGGAACAACCAGTAAATATTTTTCCCTGCTCCCAAAGACCGATGACTTGAGATGAATTCCTAGAACCCTTGTAAAAGTAAAAAGAAAAAAAAACCACACTCACACAGGTGGTCTCTGACTTCCACATGTGTGTGATGTTGTACACATATCAGTGCATATATGGAACACACATAGTAATAAATGAAAAAATGTAAACCATATAACTTAGAAAGCTCAGAATATATATCCCATAAAATAATAGGACACAGCTGTCCCTGGAAGAGCCTGTAACCATACTTGGGTATGTCTTACTCTTTCCCTGAGCGTTTTGCTACTAACCTCTATGCTTACAACCTATGGTAAAAATGTAGTTTAACCTCAGCCTCCCAAGTAGCTGGGATTCTAGGCCTGTGGTCACAAGATCCAGCTCAAACCTTTAATTCATTCATTCACTACTATATGTTATTATGTTTTCTTGTGTATCAAGTTTTATTTCTCATTCTTATCGAGTTCATATAAATAATACTTGGATAACTAAAATTTAACAAGCATTTATGTTCTTTTTCTGTAGGAGAGCATGCTGAAAAGACAAAAATGTTGCATCAAGAACTTTTAGGGGGTTGGAGAGATGGCTCAGTGATTAAGAGCACTGACTGCTCTTCCAGAGGTCCTGAGTTCAATTTCCAGCAAGCACATGGTGGTTCACAACCATCTGTAATGAGATCTATTGCCCTTTTCTGGTGTGTCTGAAGAGAGCAACAGTGTACTCATATACATAAAGTAAATCAATAAATCTTAAGGGTAGGGGGACTTTTAGAAGGATATGGTAGCACACATCTTTAATCCCAGCACTTCGGAGACAGAGGTAAGAGGATCTCTGTGAGTTCAAAGCCAGCTTGGTCTACAAGAACAAATGTCAAGACAGCCAGGGCTACACAGGGAAAACCTGTCTTGAAAACATAAAAAAAGAACTTTTAAATAATGTTGTAAAGAGTTTCCCACAAAATGTCTAGTGGCATACTGTCCCCAGATTCATTTTATGAACCCCATCAAGACTTTACCACCTCATAGATACTCTAAGAGTCAAGCATGCCAGGCTGTTATAAATACACTTCTACTTCTACCCAGGGGTCAGAGACTTAGAAAGCTCTGTTAAACTGTAGCCATGTACCCTTATTCTGCGTGAAGAAATGATGTTAATTGTACTGTTAGGATATTATTGTATTTTCTGTTGCTGTATGTCTCCCTGCCCCTTGTTTTCTTGAGACAAAGCCTCACTATGTAGCCCTAGTTGGCCCAGAACTTACAGTGGTCCTCCTGCCTCTGCCTCTGCCTCTCCAAGTGCTGGGATTAGAGTTGTATATCTATGTATCACCACACCTGACACTCTCCATATATATACGCATATCTCTATCTCCGTGCGTGTGTATTTTATATTTTGCTGTAAAGTATGTGTGTATATGTGTACATATGCACATGGATACCCATGGAGGCCATATAACGTCTCACAAAACTAGAGTTACTCTGTTTATAAAATATCTTGGTATTAGGTTGCCTGTATTTCTTTATTTGTAGTCCACCCACCTCTCGGTGCTGGAGTAAAAGTATATGCACTAGCTATGTGACGGCATTAATTAAGAGAATGTGTCTTTGTGTGTGCACAGATGCATGTGGGTACCGTGAAAGCCACATCAGATCCCATGGAACTAGAGTTACATCTGTTTGTGAAACATCTGGTGTGGTGTGGGTGTGGGAACCGGACTCGGGTCCTCTGGAGGAACAGCAAGCAACTTTAACTTCAGAACCACCTTTCCAGTCCCCAGACTTTTTTGTTTGTTTTTTTGTTTTTTGGTGTTTTTTTTGTTTTTGTTTTTGTTTTTGTTTTTTTGGTTTTTCGAAACAGGGTTTCTCTGTGTAGTCCTGGCTGTCCTGGAACTCACTCTGTAGACCAGGCTGGCCTCGAACTCAGAAATCCGCCTGCCTCTGCCTCCCAAGTGCTGGGATTAAAGGCATGCACCACCACTGCCTGGCTACAGACTTATATTTTTTAAGATATTGAAAATCCTTTTCATATTTTTTTACATTTCCAGCTCATCACAGAAATGTTACATTTTTTTCCATTTTTATTGGTTATTTTATTTATTTACATTTCAAATGTTATCCCCTTTCCAAGTTTTCCCTCCAGAAACCCCCTATCCCATCCCCCATCCCCCTGCCTCTATGAGGGTGCTCCCCAACCTGCCCATCCACTCCTGCCTCAGTGCCCTAGTATTCCCCTACCCTGGGTCATCAAGTGTCCACAGGACCAAGGGGCTTTCCTCCCAATGATGTCAGATAAAGCCATCCTCTGCTACATATCCATCTGGAGCCATGGGTCCCCCCCGTGTGTACTTTTTGGTTGGTGGTTTAGTCCCTGGGAGCATTGGGGGATCTGGTTGGTTGATATTGTTATTCTTCCTATGTTGCAAACCCCTTTACCCTCTTCAGTCCTTGCCCTAACTCCTCCACTGGAGTTCCTGTGCTCAGGCCAATGTTTGGCTGCATGCATCCGCATCTGTATTGGTCAGCTCTGGCAGAGCCTCTCAGGGGACTGCTATACCAGGCTCCTGTCAGCAAGCTCTTCTTGGCATCATCAATAGTGTCCAGGCTTGGTGTCTACAATTGGGATGGCTCCCTAGGTGGGGCAGTCTCTGGATGGCCTTTCCTTCAGTCTTTGCTTTACTCTTTGTCCCTGCATTTCCTTTTGATAGAAGGAATTTTGGATTAATATTTTTGAGGTGGGTGGGTGGGTGGCTCATCCCTCAACCAGGGACAATGTGTACCCACTGGATATGATCTCTACAGGTTCTATCTTCCCTTTGTTGAGTATTCCAGGTCCTGGGTATCTCTTGGGTCTCTGGCACCTGGGACTTTCTAGTGGCTAGCCGCAGTTCCCCCTTCCCCACTGCTATACACTACCTTTCAAAATCCTGAACCTCTGTACTTCTCCCCATCTCCTCCCATATCTGAACCTGACTCCCTTTTTCCCTCCCCCTCTTCTCTCCCTCCCAGATCCCTCTCTCCCTCTACTTCCTGTGATTATTTTCTTCCCCCTTCTGACTTTAGGGTTTCCTCCTGGACATTCCATGGCAGTTGGCATAAAGTATGGACGTCATCAAGGTGATGCTGAGTCTCTGCCTACTAAAGACTCACCCCCATCACTAGTGAAGGCACATTCAATGGGAAGGTTGTCCACACCAGCAACCATCCCGAGCCTGATCAGGAATGGTCCCATTAACTAGATAGGTATGACAAATTCCACAAGCCAGCTTAAGGTCAGATCTGTCTAGGATGGCACGAGTTAAAAATCAGTTTCTAAAATGTCTTTCAACTTGTGTAGCCAACTTTTCTCTGCATCCCACAAATATATACTGAGGCTCTTTTCCATGTGGTAGTCAGCTCCAAGAAGCCATCGTTCAGTAAGCACAGGAGCATGCCTGGGTCTTCCTCTGTTTCCATAGATACCTCATCTCCTAATGCAGTTTTTTTCCCTATTGCACTTTAGTTGCACTTTGAGTACCCAGATCTCATCCGTTTATTCCATAACATCCAAAAATG